AACAAAAACCCCCCCCCCCCCCCCCCATACACACACACACACACACACACATATACAGCATATGTTAATCTGTTAATATAGAAAAAGAAAATTCATATTATAATCTCCAATTCAAAGATTTTTGACTCAATAAAAGAGTAAAATTGAAACATTTAGAGTTATGAATTCAACATGTAATATTCAGTAGAGATTTCCTTTCACAATTACTGTAAATATTTAGTTCAGTATCAATTTCAAACTGGTTAGATTAGTTATCATGCACACTCATACACATATAATATGCTTAATTTTTACTGTACATTATGCCTTTATAACTTAAAGTAACAGGTTGAACCAGTCTCTGGGTGTGTTAATGTGTCATGTAGGTGTGTATCCTGCTAGTCACCCACACTGTTAGTGTAACAAAGGGAAGGATTTTGTCTGTTGGTAAAATACACCCACTTGCATGTTTATTTAGTACAATTATAGCTAATACAACGGTCCTGCAATAAAGGGTACATGAAGGGTATAATATTCACTTTATTAGTTATTACATTGCATTTAGATACTTACTTAAGAAACTGGTAGCTCAGTGTAAAATAAAAAAATCCTGCATGCTCATGGTGTTCACAAAAGAGAGACATGCAGTTACTGCAGACAGGCAACTGGAATGTGATGTTTCATGTGCAGTATTACTCCTGACACTCTTAAGTGAGTGCGGCTCTAACAGGACCTCCAAACTCAAAAGCTATAGGTCATTTTTATCCCTGACCCTTCTACACAACACATAAAAGGATTACCTGTCATTTTAGGGGAGGATAATCTGGTGGATCAGACTGTTGGTGACGTGTTCAAGAATATTTTAAAAATGTAAATTTGAGAGGTGAAAACTCTGCAGTCAGTAGACAGATGCAAAAATAACCTAATATGTCCGGATTAGTCTAATCTAATATTTGCAATTTGTGTTTCTATTTAATCTAAATTGCTTGCACAAACATCAAGATAAGGATAATCATCTTTATTGGCCAAGTGTGTTACACACAAGGAGTTTGTTTTCGGTACAAAACCGAGGCAGCCATCTGCAGCACCAACTCAACCAATGGCTCTAACCATTGGGGGCAACAGGGGGGTTCAGTGTCTTGCCCAAGGACACTTTTACATGTGGACTGCAAGCACCGAGATTCGAACCTTCAACTTTCCAGTTGGGAGACAACCGCGCTAGCCACTGCACCACTGTTGCTTAAAAATAAGCGGCTTTAATCACAGCTTTAATCTGAGGACTCAGCAATGCTTCTGTCATCATTAAAGCACTTTTCTCTGCTGTCACTGTGTTTAAAGTGAATCTTGCCAGCTTTAGTCTGACACAGTATGAGAGTAAAGCTCTTTGAACAGTTGTCTTTGACAATAAATTATCTTGCTAAGATAATATGATTTTCTAACAGGATGCCAAGAAGATAGCAAAGAAGATCAGTAAAACTTTGATATGTCACTGCAGTCTCATTAATACTATAGAGCCAGTAATAGTAAGGCACGGCTCATGTTCTGCTCAAAGGTCAGCAAAAGCTTTCAAAGCCTTATTTGAGAAAGTATACATTTGGGCTGCAGTTAACAAGCCCTCTCATTTCAGGTCATTAGAAACAAGGCCTGTGTCTCATGGGTGGTGCTGCTGGCTTCCATGACTCCCAGGGTCCCTGAGGGCTCAGCTATACTTTACTGGGAGGTCATGGGTAACAGTGACTGCAGCTGCCTCTGTGGAACAACAGCCATCCTGCAGAGCAAATCTGAAGTGGTGTGCAGAGAAAGGAGAAGACAAATACTTTCAAATCTGGGCATTATTTAATACAAACAGAGTAGGTTTTTATCACTTTCCAGAATGCATTTAATTGAGATTTTCTTTCATGCACTAATAGACATGAACAAAACAAATGAGCCTCATCTATTTGGTTATGTAAACATCTCACACAAGTCATGGGTTTGTCATGGTGATTTTAAAAGGCAACTGAGGCAGAGCTGTCACTTTGCTTTAATGTCTGGCCTTCACTGCCTTGGGATGCAGATATCTGTCAGTTTTTTTAATGACTTAGCCTATGAATAGGCTACTGTGCCTCTGTTCTTTACTGTGGCTGCTGTGACACATCATTTTTCCTATTTAACTGTATTCTGTATAATTGTGTAATTAGTAACAGACTACTGGAATAAACAAATCCATAATACTTTTAAAATATTTATTCTACGTGGGCAGAATAAGCAGTGAGATAAATGTGAAGTTAAAAAAAAACATTTTTCTGCTCTGTGGAGTATAGTCTAAAATATGTGTTAATGCATAAGCAAGTGCAAGTACCTGGTACAAAATACGGGCAGGTTACAGCCAAGGATAGATTATAAACTGGGCAAAGTGGGCCTCAGACCTTCAGGTAAATAAAAGTAGTACTTTATTCACTGAAAAAGTACATTGACTCTGAACACAATCCAGCCTCTGATTGTTTCTTCTTAAACATACACTATCAGTCAAAAATTTGTTGAATGGGTAAGTTTTTTCTAGGGGGGGGTCTAAGGGCTTAGACTGTAAAGCCCCTTGAAGAAAATGTGTGGTACTTGGCTATATAATCAGAATGTGACTTGACAATGGGTCTTTGAGCACAAGCATGTAAAAGCACCCACTCCTCCTACATAGTATATAGCAAGACCCCATGACTGACAAAGACTCTGAGGTTGTTTTGTGTCTTTTTGTGTCTCTCTTTGGTCATTTTGCGACTATATTTTATAGTATTGTGTCTAATTGACTTGTTGTATGTCTCTTTGGGGTTGTTTTGCATTTATTTTTATTTGCTTTGTGTCTCGTGATCTGTTTGTTGGTGTTTGTGTCAAAATGTTTTTGTTTCTCTGTTGTAGTTTTGCATCTATTCGTCCTCTTGAAGGCCGCTTCAGTAATGCAAGCCCGGGCCAGGTATTAGAGAACCTGCTTGTTCTTGAGTCTCTGTGTAAAATACAGTGAAGCTGCCATCTAGTCTATAGTGTACTGTGTGCACTGTTGGCTGCTTGAGTGGAACTTAGAAGAAACAGGGGCCCAACAGCACAGTTATGCCTTGGGGCCCTAAAACAGGTCACTCCGGCCATAACGGCAGTAACAAAAAACTGACTCTTCTTGTTCTTTGGTATTTTACAGCAGCTGGCATCCTGGCGTTGCAGGACTGCCATCTTGTGTAACTAGTAAGATCATGTTGGGCAAAATTATTAACAAAGTTATACTCTAGGATTGGTTCTAACATTTGATTGAAGTAAGTACTTATTTAGTAGAAGATTGACACCATGACTTGTTCATTTAACCTTTCTGACTTCGACTCTTCCTCAGAAACGAACATGCAGGACGGTTAAGTCCAACAGTCACCTTCATTAATCTATATCATATTTATTAGTCCAGGTTCCCTCTGATGTTCAAACAGGCTAACACTCATCTTTCCTTATCACTATTTTCAAATTATAAAACACTTCAGACTGACTTCTGGTAGTCCTAGTTTCTGTACCTGAGTAAACATTTCTACTCTTTCCAATGAATTTCCTGCACTGATAATGACATAGACTACTGCACAGTTTCTGCTTCATAACAAACCGTAGAGAAACAGTGTGCTATTGAGATTCCTATCGCCCCGTAGAGAAACAGTGTGCTATTGAGATATCACAAGTCCTCATTCTACTTGTTCTCTCCTCGTTGTGCCCTTGTTCCGTGCTGCTCCCGCCTTTGACTTTTCTCCTATGATGACGATAGTTTAATGTTGCCTGCACGGAATGCTGATAGACGTGCATGCAGATTTTTAACCAAACTATGGGGTGTCTTTCAAGAAGCCACCTGAGCGACACACCTGCCACCGAGCTCAAATGCTCAAATCTCCACTGCGCATGCGCCACTCACTCAAGGGCTACACTGTCATGGCGGTGACGAGCTGAAGCTACCGGGCTAAATCAGGAAGAAGCAGACGCGCAGCTGTGTTAACTCTCGCATTCAAGCAAGTCTGTGGAGTTTGTCGAGAAGTACCGAGCGGACCGCCGTCGTTTATCGGCTCTTACTGGAGCTGCTGACGGACTTGCCCTCTTGCAGTTTGAGAGTTTAGGTTATCTCAAGCGCGGTACCTGCCAAGAGTGTGGACTCGGTGACAATAGCAACTTCCAGCGCTGAACGGAGACGCATAAAATCATTGTGTCGTTTGCTACCTGCTCAGCAGAGAAGACAACAGGATAAGGGGCAAGCTCTGCTTCACCTTGTTACCTGCAGCGCGGTTCCTCACGGCTCTTCTCGTAATAGCACTAATCCATCCGTCTGGTATCAAGTTACGGAGCAGGGGAGAGGAGTAGTTCACCGTGGAGTGAAGCGGTGACATTTCCAGTCTGGCCAGACTAACAAATTCAATTTGCGCAGTTTTTCGCCCACTTTCGAGACTAATTCGTTAAACAGTTTTTGGATGGGGAGGGAAGCGTTTTGCTTGTGTGCCTGCATACTGTCAACAACTCAGCTGAAGAGGAGATAGACCCCTCGTTCTCCTCCAACATCGGCTGCACTGTCACCATTGGAGGTGAACAGGTGCCTTACCTGTAAACGCCACCTGTTCCCGTCCTTCCTTCCTTAGCAATGGCTAGCGAGGAGACAGCCGGCGCCCCGCAGCCAGGTGATGGAAAGGACGGGAGATCAGGCGCCATGGCGCTCAACCCCGGAATGCCCATCAGGGGGATAAGGATGAAATTTGCCGTGCTCGTTGGCCTGGTGGAAGTTGGGGAAGTTTCCAACCGAGATATCGTGGAGACGGCGTTCAACCTGGTAAGCTGATTATGAGAGCTCAGAATAGGCCTTAGGTGAACTGTCACGCCGTAGCGCAGACTGTGACATCTAAACGTTTGGACAAGTCTGACATCATTCACATTTGCATAAAAGGCGGTGATGATCCTGCAGCACTTTGAGCATTAGATGGGATACTTAGCACCGGTTATGTTTTATGACTTGGCAGTGAGCAGCCCACATAGGAAAATATGCAATGAGTCAGAGGCTAAATGACTCCTCTGTAGGTGCACTCATTACCTCGTTGTCTTCATATGAGAGCATATTGTTTATTGTATACTACTTAGGCCTGTGTATCACTGGGATTTGTTGAGGAGTTTCAGTGCAAAACCTACTCTGTTGCCTGTGTTTAGGCTTAAACACTGTGTTTCTTATTTAGCATGCTTGTTTGTGTGTGACTAATTTTGTACTGTTATGGTCTGCCTGGGACTCTGTAATGTGTAACTATTAGGTTAAAGCAAAGGAAAAAAAACTGTTTCATTAATTAATTGAATAAAACAGGATGATCTGTGTCAGAAACATGGTGGAGAAGCGGTGGCAGCAAAACAATTGCCACTTTGACATATTTAGGTCAGTGTAGTTATCTGTCTACTACCTGTTGGCCACCACCCCTATGTGTGTATCAGCCTTTGCAAATCGACACTGACATTCCTTTACCTGCCAGAGTAGTGAAATGCTTTTGCAGCACCTCCATGTGATTGAATGAACTGGTAATAAGGAAGTGTGGTGAGAAGGTGAGAGCGTGCTCAACTGGAGTTTGGCTGTTTAGGTGGGAGGTAAAATGAGGGAGGAGAGGTTAAGGTGGAACCTGCAAAACTGCTTTGTCACTGTGGCAACACAAAGAGTCCTTTTGAAAGGGAGGCTCATCCACAATGTCTGTATTGGTGAAGTGAACTCCAACACCAACCCCCACAGTGTAGGCAAGGGAATTGTACTAGAGATTCATTCCTCATTTCATGAAGTTGTAGCACCGCTAAGCACAAAGCTGTTCTATCATCCAACTAGTGAGGAACTATGCCTGCAACAAAACAAGCAAATACACAGGTGAAATGGTCTGTGTAGATTTTAGCTGTAGCTGCTACATATTTGTTCAAGTTAAGACTGAAATATAAACTGAAATGAAATAGCTGTTTAATATGTGGAACCACATTATGTAGGGCAGCAGCTAACAAACATTTTCATGATTGGTTGATAATCTTTTGGTTTTCTGAAATATTAAAAGGCCCACTGAGTTCTGAGAGCGGGAGTAAACCCTCCCTCACACTCGAAACACTAGACCCAGCAAATTTTGAAGTGATTATGAAGAAGGTTGCTGATTAATTTTCAGTTGATTGACTTAACTGATTAATGAGCCTATTGTTCCAGGTCTGGCAGAAATGCCTGAGCTGTGCAAAATGTGCAAACATGTTACCTTTTTATTGCTGGGTAATGAACAAGATGATGTTTATGAGTAAGGCCAGGAATTTCAGCTGTAAGGGCAGAATGCCATCTCCGAGTGGTTCATGTTTATTGTGGTGAAATGTGTTGCTTTTTCTTTCATACAAAAGGTATACACTGTATTTCAATGTGATCTAAATTTTGGCTGAAATAATTGAATGAAAAATACTCAATTTTCTGTGTCCTTGGCTGCAAGGCAGTTTTGTCTGCCTGTTGGTAGCAGTGAGAGACAGAAAGGCACGACTGCCAATAGTGACTTCAGATTTATGAGGCAGCAAATTTGAAAAATATTACAGGGAAGAATTATAGCTGCAAAACCCAACAAGAGGAAATACAACATGCTTTATTGTTTTTTGAACTAGTTAGTAGCACCCAAAACCCAAACCATAAACCTTCCTGGTTCTGGGTAGCAGCTCCCAGGCCACAAGATTACACAAACTGATATGTGTGTATATATAAGTGGGCTTCCTTCACCACACAAAGGAGCTGGTGAACAAGTCTAGCAAAACAGTGAATTCACTGGAGACCTATTTTGGCTACATGTAAAACATTAAGTCCAAAGGTTACTAGTGTACTGCATTTTCTAAGGCAGGTAGCATGCAGTCATTGTGCATGAGCCTGTGCTGTAAGTGGTTGCCCACAGTTTTACAGGAAGCAGTACTGCTCTGGTTTTCTTGATTTGGCTAACTGAACGATGCACTGAAAGCTGCAAGGAGATACAAAGTGGGGTGTTAATTCTCATTTTGGCTATCTGCACTACACTGCTGGCTGATGTATCCGTTTACTCTGATGTAATTTTCAGTCGACACTGAGATGGGGGAGCAGTGAACAGTTAGTAGGCAGACGGTATTGAAATACATCTTTGTACTAAGATGGCTTGTGAATTTAATATGTGATAAAACACAGTGACGTGCTTCGTTACAGTGTGTAGGATGACATAATGTGCCTTTAAGACACTGTTGACTAATGAGCCAGGCTCATGGCTCCTCTGATGGGTGACACAGGAGATGGGGGAGTTTGTGGTGTGGAATGTAACTGTGACTTTACATGAAGGCAGTGGAGCTGGTTACTAGCTCTGTGGACGGCCGTGGAAACCAGAAGTGTGTGTGCATGTGGTCTTCACGTCATTGTTTTCCTTACAGATTTGAAACACTACATTCAATAAGAGAGCTAAAGTCATGAGGTCTGTTACAAAAGCCAGCCACTAGTTTAACTCGGTGAGGTGTATATTTTGTATGCATTTAGTTCATATTTTGGATCTCCATTTCAGGGATTAAAAATTCAGCAGTCTGTGTCCCAGTGCCCTTTAGGCCAAAGTCGTTCTGTTCTATTACAGGACTATGTGTTAATCAAGTTTGATAATTATTAAAGGTGTATTAACTAAGATTTTACACATTGTCTAATGATTAAAGTGAAAAAGGGACAGGGCGTGGTGGCTGTTGGCTATACTGCCCCCCTCCACATCACTCTGCTTCCTATAGTTCTTCTGCTTTTATTCCTGCTTCTCCACCTTTTGTTGTGATGCCTGTCTGGGCATTAGCCCTGCCTGCCGCCTAGCGAAGGTTATAAGAAGCGTTTTATGAAAGTGAGCCTGTATGTGAGAATATCGATGTCTGAGTCGGGTGACCCGGACCTTAGGCAGGCTTTATCCTGCCAGCTCCCTAGTACAAAGTCTGTGTAAGGTCTGAGTGAGCCCATGTGAGAAAACAGCAGTGTATAGTCTGTAGCATTCACACAGAGCCAGTGGGCGTGTTGATGGTGTTCTGTCATGTGACTAGTGCGAAACTGGAAGAATGCAAACATCTAATGTTGAAGATAAATGGTCATTTATAATGACAAGTGTCTAACCGGAGATGACGCGAGATTCAGGAGCTTCTGTCGTTGAGATCCGGCACCGGAATAGCTGGACAAACTCAAGGAACGGCAAGAGACTCGGTTTTTTTAAGACCAAATTCCAAACTGGCAGCATGACCACGTCATATCCCGCCTTCTGCGTGCTCTACCCAGGCACATGCCCCGCACATAAAGCAAAGGGAGTGTTTCCAGTAGGTGACTATCTCCTGTTGTGTGTTGCATGTGTGAAAGGGCAGCTCTCGACAAAGTCCAGGCCTGATTTTGTGGACATAGTCTGGAGTTCATGTGTGAAAACAGCTTGTATATAAAAGTTTTATTCAGTTTTTATTACTTGAACGTGTTATTTTTTTTGTCCTTGTTTGTCTGAACATGCACACTATCTATTTGATGCATTTGTTGCCCACTTTATCATCTGTTGTCCTGATGTCGACACACAGGGCCTTCCTTTGAGATAGGCTGTCAGAAGTGAAATTAATTGTTCTAAGCTGCATCTACCCTGTGTTGCTTTAAATAGTCTACTTGCTATCTTTCCTTCTTACAGCTGCAGGGAAGAATCGTGCAAAGCAGCTGTGCCCTGGTCCATACTGTATGTTAAAATTTGTGAAATTGGCTTTAACAGCTTTATGTTTATCAGAAGATGTAGGTGCTTTAGGAGCAGATGCCTGCAGTTAGATATGAGATAACTTATAAACCCTGAGCTATCAGTAAATGTGTCGTACAATCACTTCAGCCATTCTTTTTCTTATTTTTGAAGACCCAGTATTTACAATTTATACTAGTTTTGTCATTGCCTATGCATATCATGTAGACAGGAATGTAACAAATACCCAAACTCCCTTCAGTTGCATTCAATCTTACACAAAAACTAGGGCAGTGAGGACAGTCCTTGTTCTCTTTCTAGGCATACTTTGCCCTCTCCAGTAGTAACAAAGAGCCCTCTAATCAGACACATGAATGAAACTCTATCTGCTTCTCTCTGTTTGTCACATCAGCCTAATTCCATGCTCACACCTTCCCTTTTCTTCTTTCTCCACTGTAGCTGAAATCTTTTTGGGGGCTGTGTCCAAATAAGCACGGTCTGACTCTGCTCATCATCCTGAGCATCCTTGTTTTATTTTCAACACCACCCTCTATGCTCATTATGTCCCTAAGTAACCGTTTTATTTCCCTGATTCATTTTGTCTGTAACAACTTGTAGTAAAATCCGCACACAGGACGACTGCACAGGTTTGACTAGCCAGTGTGGCATTTAGCTGTGACTGGTTCTAAATGGTCACAACTGGGATGACTGTTTTCTGCTTATCCACATAGTGTGTCAATATCGAACCCCTGAGCAGATCAGATAATGCACCCACCATGCCTCATCACCCGCTGTGTGCAGACAGCCTTAGGATTTGACAGTGTCAGAACGAGATGGCTGTCAGGGACTAAAATCTCCTATGTAACACAAATTTAGAACCCATTGTAGGATAAAGCGTAGACCCTGTCAGACACGTGCTCCTTTAATTAATCTGACAGCATCTGAACATGTCGGCTTCAGGTGTGAATGAGCACCCCGGTCGCTTTTCAGTAAAAGTTGCAATTGCAGTCTTACTAGTTACATTTACATATCACTTTCAACACGGCACAAGTCTGAAGCGGATCCAGTTGCATTAACAGAAAGGCACGGACAAGATTACAATGTACTGATG